ACAGCCTGTGTACGATGCACACCTGTGTCATTACCTGGTGGCTCTCTGTGCACCAAGGCTCACAGCCAGCCCAGCTGCTCTCCAGCGTTCACCTGAGGGCACAGACAAGTTTATATTCTCCGCACAGCCGGGGCAGGAGGCCGGGCCGGCACAAGGAGCCCCGTGTGCCCTCGCATCTCTGGGCAGGGCCGCACCCCGCGTTTCTCCCGGGGCTGTGGGGCCGGTGTCCCCGAGCCCGGCGGGTGACAGGGGCTCTGCGGGCACCGCCACCCCCGGGATGCGGCGGCTGCTCCCGGATCCCCGCAGCGTCCCGGGTCAGGCCGGACGGCGCTCGGAGCAGCCGCGGATGGCGGCAGGTGCCACGGCAGGGCTGGACCGGATCTCCGCTCCCTTCCAACCCGAACCGATCCGTGACTGGACGGCAGGGCACGGGCAGGGCAGCCCCGGCCGCGCTCGGGACAGCCCCGGCGGGTCGGCGGGGCTCAGGGGAGGCACGAAGCGCTGCCCTGAGGAGCGGGCCGGCAGCGCCGGGAGCACGGACCCCCGGGCCGGGCTCCAGCACAGATTCCCGGGCCGAGCTCCAGCACAGATTCCCGGGCCGGGCTCCCCGGGACCGCCGCCTCCCGGGCCGGGCTCCAGCACAGATTCCCGGGCCGGGCTCCCCGGGACCGCCGCCTCCCGGGCCGGGCTCCAGCACAGATTCCCGGGCCGGGCTCCCCGGGACCGCCGCCTCCCGGGCCGGGCTCCAGCACAGATTCCCGGGCCGGGCTCCCCGGGACGCGCAGCCCCGGCTCCCCCGGGGGCTCCTCCCGCCCGCGGGCCCCGGACCCTGCATGGCTCCCGCCCGCCGCCGCCCCGGACCCTGCATGGCTCATAGCACCGGCCCGCCCGCCGCCGCCGCCGCCGCGCCCGGCCGGGCCCCGGACTCTGGATGGAGCCGCACCAGCGCCGCCCCGCCGCATGGGGCGGCCCCGGAACATGGATGGCGGCCCCGCCGCTCCCCCCTCCCGCCTCCGCAACACGCACTCGCTCCCATTGGGGGGAGCCCCGGAATCTGTATGGCACATACCACTGACTCACCGTGGAGGGGTGTAACTTATACAGAGTCCCGGGCCCCCCTACACACAATGGCAGCAGCTCCCACATTCTTCCCCTCAGAGGAGTTGGACTGAACCATGGGGCGGCGGGGGCACGGCCCCCCTCCCGGCCTCCGACAGAACCCGCCTGGCCCTGGGCGATACCACTCCACGCTCCCCCATCTTCCTTCCCCCCGCCCGGGTAGATGGACGCCGCCGCTCTCACTCACCTCGGCATCCACTGTGGCCATGGCCGGAGCCCCGGAGCGCAGCCCCGCCCCCCCGGCGGCTCCTCGCGCCTTGGCTCCGCCCCTTGCCCCTCATTCTTCTCAATGGAGACGCTCGGCCGGGCACTGCGCATGCGTGCGGCAGCATGGCGGCCCCCAGGGGTCCCGCTGTCCGTACGGCGTCATGGCGGCGCCCATCGGGCGGTGCCGTACAGGCGGAGCGGGGACGCGGGGACAGCGCCCGGTGGGACGGACCCCGCTCCCCGCTCCCCGCACCGGCTCCCACCGACCGCGGCTCCTCCCTGGTCCTGGCGAGGCCCCCGAGTGCCCCCACACCCCGAGGCTGCGGGGGAAGAGCAGCCGCCGTTCCCAGCGGAACGCACCGTGAGCTTCCCAAACTTCCAGCAGCGCCCAGCAGCACGGCTTGCCCAAAAACCTACATGAAATAAAATCCCTGCAAAAATCACAGAAAGCGTCATAAAGTCCCTCTGTCTTTACTGCCAAAAGGTTAACCGTGGAAAACCACCTCCTTTTTTAGTTTCTCCCACTCTGGGGTCGTTTCAGCCAAATTTGGGCAAGGTTTTTGGTGTCTGTGTCACCTCAAGGCAGGGATGGGGCAGAGGGAGCAGCTCGCCCTGGCTCTGCCCCACAGAGGGGTCCCTGCAGCCTCTTCACTCCCTTTCCCACACCTCAAACACCCGCAATAGCTGCAGCCCACCCAAACCCCACAGGGCCCCTCCCAGTGCCCAGGCCCTAAACCCATGATTGTAAAACAATTATCCCTTTTACAGCTCTCCAGTAAAGCAGAAAATAGCACAAGAGGGGAGATAAAACACCTGCAAGGGTTCCTTGGCCCCACAGCTGTGTCAGAAGGCACCCTGAGGAAGTCACACCTGCCCAGGGAGACACAGGGATGAGCAGGTACTGCTGCACCAGCCTCCTGGACAGGACAGTTCATGTTTCTTGGAGGGAAACAGGAGCCTTTGAGTTCTCTGAAATCAATTTACATATTTATTATCTGCTCTCTGAAGGGACAGACCCCATCCCTTGGTCCTCAGGCCGCTCTCCCGCAGCCCCAGCTGACACCTCGCTCTTCTGAGTGGACAAATGGACATTTCTGTTCCAGCTCCTCCCTGGGGCAGCTCCAGCTCTGCCCCGGGACAGGGACAGGAGCCAGGGCACGGCTGGAGCTGGGCCAGGGCAGCTCAGGCTGGAGAGCAGGAAAGGTTCTTCCCCCAGAGGTGCTGGCACTGCCCAGGCTGCCCAGGGAATGGGCACGGCCCCGAGGCTGCCAGAGCTCCAGGAGCCTTTGGCCAGCGCTGCCAGGGATGCCCAGGGTGGGATTGGGGGGGTCTGGACAGGGACAGGGGTGGGATTGATGATCGTGGGGGTCCCTTCCCCCTCAAGAGGTTCCTACTGTGCCTTACAGCGAACCTCCGGCCCTGCAGCGCTGCGGGCGGGGGCAGCCCTGGCCGGGGCACAGCCGGGGTTATCCCGCTCCCACCCACAGCTCCGGCCCCGAACACTCCTGGCACAGCCGTGCCAGCTCCGGGGCTGTCGCTGTCTCCATGCACTGCCCGGCCCGGGGGTTGGTGCTGCCGCCGCTGCCCGCAGGCACCGCGGTGACCCGGGCGGGACAGGCTGGGGCAGCAGAGCCCGCAGCTCCGCCGGAGCATCCGCAGCGGG